TCTCCCAGAGCATCACTGAGATGTATTATTTGGCTAGAACAAATTAGCATTCCTTTATCATTAGGTGGAAATAACAAATTCGGGAACCAGTGCAAACAAAAAAGGGAGTGAGGTGTGAACAGCATTTAACAATTAATCAAAGGAGGTATTTTGGTACGTCATTTTTATAGAGAAGCAAAACTGTGAAAAATTACAAGTGCCTGCTATTTATCCACACACGATATAATAGTGAGCTGGGTACTATTTTAACACAGATACATCCATTCACCAAATAGCCTTCGAGCATCTATTATGTGCTACGCACTCAGACAGACCCTGGGGAGGTACAGCGGAGTTTCAACTAAAGTCAGCAAAAATTTCCAAGTGTGAAAATCCTATAAGTCATCTGTAAAGTACCGTACGTATGGTTTGTGTATAAAAGCCAATTCGTAATTACTCTTCTCAATGAAATGGAGCTATATGAAGGGGAAGCATGGAGTAATGGAATATGTAGCATTCAGACTTCAAGGGAATTATCAGAGCTCTAACTTTGAACCAAAAGTATGGGGGGAAGCATTTAAAGTTGTCTTTCTTGCCCATGGCATTTATTCCATTGAAATCACAAGATATTAATGTGTGTTAATAAATTTATTTTGTTTTGATTTCGAAGTTTAGACACTGTATAGTACCCCACTGGAGTGCAGTGGGGTTTGAGTTTAAAGTCATTGGAATGAAAATGCTTACACTGGGCTCCACCTTGAAGGTATCTGTTACTGCACATAAATTTATGGTTAGATGGGTAATGTTTATAGCTTCAGTTGGACGCTATTACCTGATGGAAATTGACTGTGGGTCACGACAGCAATTGTGTGGACCTTCACTGGGAGCTCTCGCTTAGATGAGGTCAAGTGGTCAAAGATGGCCCTCATCTGGGGAACCTGGCTGCTCTCATCCTTCTCAGAGTGATGACAGGGTTCCAAGACAGACACATTAGGAAGAAAGTTCTCATTCTCACCAAATTCTATTGGCCAAAGCAGTCGCAAGGCTAGTGCTGCATGAGAGCGGAAGGGAACCACGAAGTTACAAAGCAAAGGGGTCATTCACGGACGTCAGCAGAGCCAAAGCAGTGGATCGGCCACACCCTTAAACAGACAAGCACCGTTGCTTCTGCACCGTAATGGGCACAGGTACCAATGTTTCCAAATGCACTGAGACAAAAGGACCCCTTAAATTTTCTCAGAGCAGGGAGAGTGGCTTGCAATGGGGCTGACTCCTTTGAAAGGAGTACAAACAGGCTTTTCTTCCCAGTCCTTGCATGTTCCTTTCCTCCACATGGTTGAAGAGCTAGTGTGGTCTGCCTTTTAACACATTTTTTTCTTGTTTTTGTTTTCAGACATTTAATCTCTTTGCCTTGAAGGCCTAGGCAATACTTCTGCATAACATAACAAGCCACAGTAAGTATACAGTCCTGTAGCCTACAAAAAACAAACCAAGGAAATGCGAGTGTAGGAGATTAACCTTGAAGCTGAAACCCACATCTCCTCGTGCTCTCCTCTGAAATTCTGTGACAGCACACACATTCTCAAAGGGACATCTTGTGATAGCTGCCACGAGGACTGAGTGACAGTACTGCCACATTGAAGTATACAATGAATGGGCAACATGGGGGGGGGGCAAATGGGTTTTGTGAAAATAAGACAACAGCTTTTTATAGACTTCAATGCTGTGTGTGAAAGCATTTGGAAATTTCCATACTCTTCAAGACAGAGGAATAACAACTGAGCAGAAGAAGGTAATTATAAGGACATGGGAATAAGTTTGAGATACTGGGGATGTGTGAACCAGGGCTAGAGAGAACTGCCCCAAACCAGCCACAGAGAGAGGCCCAAGGAAGAACCGGTACCGTCATTTCATGGAAAATCCCACAGGGACTCCCTGAAGGGCTAGGCAGCAGACACCCAGGCTCACCTTGGGGCCTTCCGCAGTACCCAACAGAGCTGTGTCTTGCTACACTCAAGCACTTTCCTGATCCTAGAAGGGAACTTTAACTTGTAGAACTTCCCATCAGACCTCTCCTATATTGATAAATTGTAAGATGTAACCCCATGTAACTTCATTAGCCACATACTTGCTTACGATCAAAGCAATTTAAATACCTCTTCATTAACAACATAAAACAATAGGCCAAGAAGTATTTCCCCCAGTCTTTAATGTCCGTATTCAATTTGTTCTCTCCTGCATCTCCATGTTATCTTCCAAATATTTTGCCAAAATCGAGCAACAAAATTTTTATTGGCCAATATTTGGAAAAATCACTAAATTTGCTTGAATTTGGCAATCAAATTTTTATTGACTTATTTCTTGCCCACAAATAGAATAATTTCTTTTAACTGCTATGTTGCAATAGGTAGCCTGTGCTTGTAATACACTTCAAAAGTTTGCATGTAAAAATTCTGTAAGAAAAGTCACTTCCATTCCACCCTATTCCTTAATTCCTTAGAATTCCTCCCTAGAAGGAGCAACTGTTATATCTTGCTCTTCTCTGAAAACAATTCTGTAAATACTCAATCAAATGGTTTTTACAACCTCCATTTTATACAAATAACATGGCAGATGCACAGGACTGTGCCTTGCTTTTTTCACTTAAAATGATCCTGGGGATCATTCTGATCTCATTACCTGCGGAGTGCCTCAGTCATTTTAATAATGTATTGTAATGTAATAATGTATTGTATGAATGCATCATAATTTATTTTATTAATATCACTCACTACTGGTGTACATTTAGGTTGAAAAAGACAATTCAAATTAGTAAAAGTCAAAGGTAATGATGATGAGTTTCTCTTTGAACACAATCTTGGATTAGCATCTCCTACGTAGTGACCAAGATCTACCCTTCTGAAGTCAGAAGGAAGTCCTTAATACATTTTATGATTGCTTTGAGGCTTACCAAAACATGTCTTCATCCTTGGCCTTCTGTGAACATATTTTTTAAGTTTCTCACCTTCTCATATTTCCTCGTGCCCTTTACTGGAAATCCATGCCTTCTAATTTTCACCAAGTGTCAGTATTCTTCCTGTTAAAATTCCACTGTCAAATGCATTTCCTTCTCTAAGATTTCTACCATGGCTTCCATCCCCAGGGAGCAGGATGTTCATTTTTTTTCTCCTTCAATTTCCGATTACATGCCCATTGAGGGTAGTGATGTATAAAACATTGGACTGTCCTTCATAGACTACCAGAGGGCCTTTTGTATATTTGGGCTTATTAAACATGTGTTACATAAATGTATCCTCCAGGTGTGATTCTATCGAATTCTGCTAAATTATAATAGGACTCTGAACTAGAAGTTAGTAGCTATGAACCCTACTCCTGTCTCTGAAATTGCTATCAGGTAATTCTTGGGTGAACTATTTGAACTCCTCAAAAATTTGTATTTTAAAAGGGACTAAAATATCTGGATTATCTATATTACTGCTTGCTGTGAGAATCAAATGAAATGGTGGTTTTAAGAAAAATCTCAGGATAAGAAAAAAAAATCAAAGGTTTCCTAGTCCAATCACCATTGCTCAAAATCTCTATAAATCAACAACTCTGTAAGTAAACTATAAACCATGCATGAACATCTCCAAAGGCATAGACATCTCAAACCAGTGTAGAAACCCATTTTATACTGGCGCAGCTTTGGCTATTATTGAGTGTCTATGCAGTGAAATCCATCTGAGAGCACTTGCTGATGAAAAGTTTGCAATATCTAATTGGTGATGGGCTTCCACTCTCTGAAGTCATTTTACTCTGGCCATTAATTTCCCAGTAACTCAACTCCAACATTTTATAAGATTGTTTAGAACACACTGAGAGTGTTATTGCAGAATTTCAAAACCTCAGCTAATCCTAACAATGATTTAATGAGCTATACAAAGTATCTGGTGCCTTCCTTGGCATATTATCATGCTTAGTACATGCAGTGTGTTGTCCCAGAAGGAGTGCTGCACAATGAGTGAGCCTCATAATCTGGGCACCTTAAATTCTATAGGTCAAACCAAACCTATACCAAACCTTGGTTGAGGACTAACAATGTATAAAAAGCATTTTAAAAGCACTTTTAACAGTAATAAGAGCTAATATTATTATTATCTGTTACAGAACCTCAGGCATGTCTTTCTTCCTCACTATGCTCTGAGCATAAAGAAGCAATAAATTTCAAAGCAAACTAATGTTGAATTATTAAAAATTATATTTCCTGAGCATGTCCTCTCCAAAGATAGACCTAATTCATACATATCTCCATTTCAGCTTTAACTATACACTCTTTTGAAAAATTCTCGTAAGACTAAACTGTTTGGTAATTTTCTATCACAGCATACTTGAGCCAGGACCGGGTGCCTTCAGTCCTTACATGTTTTTATGTATACCTCCCTTTAACTCTCAGAAACATTAGGTGTATGACTGAAACATGATGCCCAGAAATCGATACAACTTTGTAAACTGACTATACTTCAATAAAAAAAAATGTAAGTTTAAAAAATAATTGCAGAGCACAAAGAAATCCAAATGGATGCTTTTTATAAGAAGGTATTATGATGATTATGACCCAGACAAGACCACCTCTTACATTACTGAGGCATGTATCCTACAATAAATGAAGAAGCAACTGGAAAAAAAAAAAGAAACAAGAGGCACTTGGAGCAACCGTAAAGTGTTAAAAATATGAGGAGTTCAATGAAGATCTAGAAAACTTAAAAATCTCCAGCATCATTACAGCAGGTGTATGGATAACATAATACATTAACCAGAAAAAAAATTTCCTGTTTTGCCAAATGATGGCCACAGCATCACTCGTATTAGCTTAAATCTGTTACTCTTGACATCGGCCATCCAGTCCCTTCTTATAGAGCTGGTATAACTAAGCAGTTCAAAAGATCCCAAATAATTAGGACAATTTCAGCCCTCCAGAACCTGAAATTGTAACTGGCAAGCTGTCAGGTGCATGAGACAGACTCGGTGTGAAGAAAACTTACCCTCCGTGTGCACAGCTGACACATAGGTCCAGTTGTATCTCTTCACTATGTCCACCATGGCCCGTGCCTGCTGGGCATCTGAAGGCACAACCCTCATGAAGTACTTGAACAGAGTTTTGTCGCTCAGATCCATGCTTGTTGCCGAGTAAGCAATTTGAGGTATGTTGAAAAGCTGGAGCAAGTTCTGGACCTGAATGGCCACAGAGCTGGAGCCGGGCCCAATGACTCCCACTATGGGCTTCTTGGAGCGGAAGGAAGAGGAGGAGCCATCCACACAGCGCACCAGACCTTCTTCTTCTTCTGAAGAAATAAGCGAGTCCCTTATAAACTCAATGCTCTGCTCTAGGGCCACAGCCGAATGCCAGCAGGAATCCCGTATCTCACAGCCCAGGGTGATGTTGGGCAGGAGCGTGGGGTCTGAGTTGATCCTTTCCAGGGTGTGCAGCATGGCCTCCACTCTCTGAATGCCATACTGTTCACGAACCGCCCCACACTTCCGCTCATGAACTTTGTCCACAGTGGGTTGGTGGTGGACAGAAAAGAGAGCTCCAATAATGATGTCACCTGGCATGTGAGCCACCACCCTCCTCTCACTGGACTGTGCACTCCCACGGACATCTTCTTTCAAAAGCAGGACTGACAGGATCAACAGAAGGACCATTTTAGGAAAGGAGTTCAAGCTAATAAAGACAGCATGGTGGGGAGACTTTAGGAGAGTTCTGACAGACAGGATCAAGAGATGTCCTATGTTGAGTGGCAAACCAAAGCCTTAGCCAGCAATTTAGATGTGCTCTCTAAAGGACCACCATGTCCCCAGGTACCATGTAGTTAGATGCATCCATGTGATCATGATCTTCAAAACCTGAAGGGGAAGAAAAAAACAGAGTGGGTATTTAACAACAGAAGTACAGCTGGTTTCCAAAGCTCTAACAGTCTATGCTAGTGGGGAAAGAGAGGTTTTTGATGATGTAGATAACTTGAAAAAAAGAATTCAGAAATCTTTCTGACTCTTCTTTGTCTCCATTGTGATTTTGTGATTTGATAAAAGCAGCTGATACAGCTTTTTGACCCTACTTTGTTTAGGTTAATATTTTTTTCATTTGTTCATATGAAGTACCCAAAAATGAATCTTATGTGTGGCTGGTCAAACTATACTCTGATGTGGAGGTGAGGAGAAGCATCCTAAAAGAAGTATGCCAGGAACAAAAATCTTCAAAAACCTCCAAAATATTCAATATTGGTGATCTCCAATAATAATGGTGGTATTTTTTGTTTGTTTAAGGAATGATTTTTGTTTCTTTCCAAATTTTCAGCATTGGGCATGTACTGATGATGCAATTAAAAAATAAAGTTACTTTTTAAAAAAGCCCACTTGGCCTTTCTTCAGTTGCAATGTAAAGCAAGTTGAATAATCTCTCCAGTGAATAAGAATTACGTCTAGTTTCCATATAAGAGAGAACAGAGATAAACCAAGCCAACTGGGCATTTCCACATTAAATGAACAGTAGGATAGAAGGAAGGGGGTTGGAAGATTACAAAGTAAGATGCCCAATCCCAATACATAAGCATAGTGAAATGCATACTAATTGTTGCAGAAAAGAACATTCAGGTTCAAATTCCAGTTCTGCTATTCAGAACTATTAGTAAATTGTTAAAAATGTGCCAGAATTTTGTCATCTGAAAAATGGGAATAATGTGTGCGAGGCTGCCCTTATGGGAATCAATACGAGATATCAACTATATAAATGTTTTGTGTATTGAAAAGGGCTATATATATTCAAGACATGATTTTTTCTGTTATTAAATTTCCAAGGGCATTCTGTGCCTAGGTGGTGAGGACAGAAAATTCTCTGGCAACCCACTTGTTTCTCCAGAGTCTTCAAAGTAATTATAGAGTCTTGTAATAAAATTCACAGTAATCAGTCCTTTACCCCTGATCCAGGAAAAAATTCCACGTCATGAAGACTCAAAGGCTGGACAGATGCATATTTGGAAAAATACTTCCAAGCAGAAACTAAGTATAGCTATGAATATAGTCACTTATTTCAATTTAAGCTCCTAAGAAGAAGAAAATTTTGTCCCAAGTTGCCTACAGCAAATTCTAGCAAGATTTGTTAGAGAGCACTGACAAATTAGTGATTTGGGTTATTTAAAGGATAGTATAAGAGACTTATTTTGTATGTTACCATCTCTGCCAGCCAAGGATCTCAAACTGTTTTAAAGTGACTAACTCCCTAAGCACCACCTTTCAAAGACAGGTGATGTTTCTTCAGGAATGTATGCAATTATGATGCTTCTTCAGGAATGCTAATGGTTTTCAAAATTCATCAGACCTGCAAACATTCTAGTCCAGGCACAAAATGAATACAGCCTGAGTCACATTTCTAATCACTCTCACTCTCATTTTCACCATTTCCTTCCACTGTTTCCTATAGCAACAGAGAAAGGCTCCTTCTGTATAGTGCCAAACACTAAAATTAAAAGCAAAAACAAAAACCCCCATCAAATACCTAGGTTTTCCAGAATAACTAGATATTTAGCAATATTTGGGGGGAAAAATCAGTTTTGGTAGGGAAGTTGGCATTGGAGACAAGGAAGAAGGAAACAAAGACTAATATTAATTTTCTCATTGGGAAATCATCAGAATATTCCCCAGCTTTCGCCTCACTTCACTTAGACCAAAGACCTTGGGATCCATGCTTATTCTCATGATCACACAAATCCTACTGCAGACAAAAAGAAAAATCTAAAGTAAAAAGAATCACAATTTCTCATTAAATCCAGGATGTTAGTGAGCAAAGCCAGTAACGAACCAGGATTCATTTTCATCTTGTGAGAGCTATTAAAGCTGAGGTGAGAGACTAGAAGTGGCCCATCAAACCACACATTTTATTTTTGCATTTTATTTGTTAGTTATTTCCGGCAAGCCTTATGTATTGAGAATATATTTGTATATATACATATATAGTCCTCCTATTATAAGCTAAATTAATTATTAACTCATTCAACAAATACCTATTAACTATAGAGCAGGAGAGACTCTATAGCAAAGTACAGAGACGTACATTGGTAATTACTGTCATTATCTTTCATTGAGCACCTGTCATGCACCAGGCATTTATTCATTAGCTCATCATCAACCATCTATTTGTGGCATGCCTATGCTATGATTCTCTGCTAGGAATCAAATATTCAAGACAGAACAGGGTGTACAGGCTCCCTATATTCATGAGGCTTACAGATCAATACTCTAAAAGGTGCCTTTGGTTGGAACCTGATGAATGCAAAGAACAAGAAAATGAAGAAAGAAAAGAAGTCGGTCATGTGAAAAGTGTGGCCAGAGAATGAAGAATGGGTGGGACTGTGGTAGAAGATGACGTTGGAAAGGTAAGAAAGGGCCAGACCATGTAGGATCTTGTAAGCTTTTGAAAGGAATTTGGAGCTTAAGTACAATAAAAAGCGACTTAGGTGTAAACAGATGATTGGCACAATTCAATCTTAGAAAAGATTGTTCTAGAGGCTCACTGTTCTGGATAACGCACTTGAGAAATCTGATAAGGAGACCCTTATAACACTCGAGGTAAGGGATGATAGTGGCTTGGCTATGATTGGTGACAAGTGAACACAGTCAGATATATTTTGCAAGTAGAATCAATTGGACTTGCTGATGGACAGAATGTGGGTAAGCTAGCGAGGAATCAGGGTCTACTCCTAGGCTTTGAGCTAAATAAAACTAGTGTATTTTGGTACCCTTAAAAGAGATAGGATTGACTGGAACAGGAACAGATGGAAGAAGAAAACTTAACGATTTTCCTTTTGAACATGTTAAATTTGAGATGCTTTGGAAGCATCCAAGTAAAGTTGCCAAGGAGGAAGGTAGACATGTAAGGCCGGACTGAGAGGAGCGTTCGGGGGTTACACCTGTAAATTAAGGGTCACCAATGTATAAGCTCTTTGGGATGAATACAACCACCTGGAGAGCAAGTACAAACAGAGAAAAGATGGAGCTGAGAAGTAAGCCCCACAGAGAGGTGAGGTTGTTGAAAAGCCAGCCTAGGAAACAGAGTCAGATCAGAAAGTAAGAACAGAGGATGTCAGAGAAGCCAAAAAACCATGTCCTGGGCGCTTGATATTCACAGACACACGTAAGGCTTTCATGTAGCAGAGACGTCACATCTCGCTCCCCTGGAAGATGTTACACTCTATGTGCGTCGTGCATCTGTGTCTGTGCGTGGGTGTGTCTCTGTACGTGTGGTATGTGGGTGTCAGTAATCCTTATAGCAACCCTGAGATATAGGTATTATTTTATGATCGCCCTTTTACTGATGACGTAATGGGTTTTGATAAGTTAAAAACTTAGAAAGTGATGGAGCTAGAAGGCATGTCTATGCCTAGTGACTCTGTAACATACTCATTTCATCATCCCTTGCCACCTTACTGCCCCTTCCTTCAAGACAGTTACTTCCAAAGTCCACGGAAAACGAGAGGGGCCACCCAAACACCATGCGAACTTCCCAGGGACATGGAATCTTACCGGAGCATCCTTAAAAACTGGAGAGTGAAGAACATTCCAGGAAAAGAGAATATTCGGCACAGAGAAGGTATAAATGTGTACGATTATCTAGCACAGATGTATTTTTATTGCCCTGGTATCTCCTACTGGATTATGACCTGCCAGATTATAAAGCAATGACTGCTTCATAATCTGCCTTGATCACACACAATGGCTGTATTTTATTGATACTATGAAACTCAGATACCTGGAAAGTATATTTTGAAATAAGTTATGGCTTAGAAATTGGACAGAATTGTGCTACAACTCAGCTTATTATAAGATCAAACGAGACATCCCATGTGCTATCAAAATACTAGAAATTAATAGAGCATAAGCTCCAAACAGACCGGTAGGATATACTCTAACTCTTAGCATCACTCATTTGTCTAATGAGTGTTTATTAAGTGACTGTTCTGTACCAAGCATCTTCTAGTCCCTGAGGATTCAGATGTGGCACAAAGCAGATACACATTCACACCCTCGTGGAGCCTGTAATCCAAGGTGGTTTGTCAGACAACAAATAAGATAGGGAAATAAAACATCGTATGCTACACAGTAATAAAGATTAAAGGAAAACAAGGCAAGGAAAGAATACGGAAAGCATCAGGGATGTGGAAGAAATTTTAACAATGCAGCCAAAAAGTATAAACTGTAAAAGTAAAATTTGGGTAAATACCCAAAAGAAGTAAGAGAATGAGTCACACAAATACCTAGGGAAAGAATATTCCAGGTTAGGAAAAAAAAAAAGTAAATGATAAGTCCCTGAGGCAGATGGATGCTTTGTGTGTTAGGAAAAAGCAAGGAGGCTAGTGTGACTGCAGAGAAATAAAAATGGGGAGAGAAGAAAAAGTGAGGTTTGAGAATTAGTATGAAGTGGTCTTTTCGGACTTTAAAAGACACATTGTAAACTGATTATACTTCAGTAAATAAATAAATAGAGAGAGAGAGAGAAAAGGAGGGAGGGAGGCAAAGAAAAAAGACTTTGGCTCTAACACTGTGTGAGAGTGATTTTTTGGAAGAGTTGTTTTTATTGAAGTATAGTCAATTTATAATATTATGTCAGTTTCTGGTATCCAGCACAATGATTCAGTTATACATGTGTACTCAATAGTGGAGGGACACACACTGACCAACGTTTCTACAAGAATAAGGGCATGAAGGCAGAACCAAGAAAGCAGTGAGGAAGCAACCGCAATGGTCCAGGTGGGAGAGATGACAGGGGCTTGGATCAGGGGGATGGGAGTACAGGTGGTGAGAACCGGTAGGACTCGGAGCAGAAGAGTCTGCTGTCAGGTCTGACTTGGGGT